CTAAAATCACTATGGGGATACCTCAGGACAGTATTCTTGAGCCGCTGCTTTTCTTAGTGTACATAAACGGTTTCAATCTGTCTTACAACACTCAAAGATGACTATGTTCGCTGGTGTAATGGCGTTTTATTGCCATGAGAGCTGCCCAAATGACTTGCAATCAAAACTGAATGCGGACGTGGCAGCGATTACATCCTGGCTGAATGACAACAAATTGACATTAAATGTTGCAAAGTCGACGTTCATGATCATTGGTAGCAACTGCAAACTAAGTCACTTTAACGATATAGATCTTATGGCTAATAACAGTCAACTAAAGAAAGTAACAACATTCAAGTACCTTGGTATAACTATAAACCAGCACCTAACCTGGCATGGTCATATTGATCGAATTCAAAGAAAAGTCTTGAAAAGGCTGGGGGTTTTACGGAGAATAAAACATATGCTTCCTGCCTATGCCAGGAAAATTTATGTCACGACAATGGTCATCCCAATACTTGAATATGCCAGTATTGTTTGGGGCGATAAGAACAACAAAGTCCTAACGGATTCAATCCAAGTTCTCCAAAGTAGAGCTGCTAACTTGGTCCTGGATAGGTCGCCGAATTCGTCCTCATCCGAAGCACTTTCAGATCTAAACTGGATGAACCTGTCTGCTAGTAGGCAAATGCAACGTTGCATCCATATGTATAATTTAGTCAATGACAACAGTAGAAATAACATCATTGTACGAGGACAAGACTATCATAGCTATAACACCCGCTCTAAGGAAATCATTCGAACTACAAAATCGGTTACCAACTGGGGACTTTTTAGATCCTTTAACAGTGTTTTGGCTGACTGGAATGACCTATTGCCAACAACAAAAAAATTATCTTTAAGAGACTTTAAGAATGTCCTGCGCAAAACATTAATGTAAATATTAGGTATATATCAGCTAGATAGTTGTATTAACCGTAAATACTAATTGTATTTTTCTATTTTATTACGAGTTTCAATGCTTCAACTTTATTTATCTTTAGTTATATTTTTTTTAGCTTTTAGAGGTTTTTAATCATCGCTGTAATAATTTTGGTTTAATTTAACTTTTTTGATTGCCATCATTTTATTTCAGGACCTCTCTGAAAACCACATTAGTGAGTGGAGACTCCTGTAGTAGTAGTAGTAGTAGTAGTAGTAGCAGTAGCAGTAGCAGTAGCAGTAGCAGTAGCAGTAGCAGTAG